AGCCCTCAAATATTTTGAGAAAGCCGCTGAAAATGGTCTTAAAGTGGCAATGTATAATGCTGGAAATTTACATTTCAAAGGTTGCGGCGGCGATAAAAGAGATTATCAAAAAGCTAAATATTATATGAAATTAGCTGCGTATCATGAATATCCTCCCGCAATCAAGTTTTGTAGGGAACATAATTTTGATTGATTATTTTTTATGTATTAATTTATTTTTTATCAATCATAATATCATTGTGTATATAAAGATTGAAAATATTATTTGTAATTTTTTTCCCCTCAATTAATTATATGTGACATGCAAAAAATATTATTAGATTCTGCAGCATAAGTCATCACTCTAAATGAATATTAACAACACGGGATTTTGAGTTTATATAAGTAGTTTATATTATTAATCAGTTAATGATCGTTCATTGGAGAATGTGTTAATTCAGAATTTTAGCTAAATTATTATTCATAATCTCGTAATTTTGGATTATCGCTAAAATTAACAAAATTATTTCGGTACTAAAATTTCTTGGTAAAGATGATGTCTGTAATTATGAATTAGAGCCTTTTCAATCCTATTGCAGACTTCAAATTGCCAAATGCAACAAGTTCTACCAACTGAATGATTTTTAACTGACAATCGCCTTCCAACGTTATACTAATCCAAGAATACGTCTTTTCTAGCTTCAATCATCTGACCTTCAATGCGTCAGAATACTGGAAAGGCATAAAGAAATTGGACGATCACGAGTCAAATACAGCGAATATATAAATAAATATTGCTTTATTCCATAAAAAATCACGTGTAAATGATGAGGCCGTGAACCAAATAATTTCGATTTATCCTAGAAAGCAAAAAAAAGATTACAATAACAAAGGGATCAACTTAAACAAAGAACAAAAACCATTGTTAGTTCTCCTACGATAAGTATCTTATCCGGACATAAATTATCCGAAGAACTATTAATGTCTAGGAAACTTTTTTTTTGTCGCCTTACGCATACATTCTTTTTTCGCCGCTACTTATACGTTTCTAAAAGATCATAAGTATCGTGTTTTGTTTATTACGAAATTAATGAAAATCTTTGAGTTAAAAATATAATACTTTTTTATTTTCCTAATTGAGAAAAAAATCTACAGATATTTTTTACAAAAAGCAATAAATTTAAATTCTAAAATGCGTTATAGAAACGCTATATCTTTTATACGTGCATTTTATCTTAAAAAAATTATATTTCATTATATTTAGTATACTCTACTCAAGACGATTTTATAAACTGCAAATAATTCGTATGATTTCTTTTTAAATTGCCATCCGATATGATTTATTTACTTTATATTTTATCGCATCATCGTCTTTTCAAAATGTTTTCCGGATAATTATACATTTTATATATGCTATTCGAATTCTAAAAATTTTATCACCGATATTTTAAATACAGGTGATAGAATAAGTGAAGCAAGCGTATTTATAAAGAGGTAATTTTTGCATCATTTGGTCAATTCGTTTAGAAAGCAATATGTCAACGCAATTATATCGGTTAGTATAAAGTAAAAAATTTAGGTCGGGCCGTGTAATTTAATTAGGGTAAGTTAGTGTCAAAATGATACCGTATGCAAAATTCAATCAGTCAGAGCTAAATTTTACAAATCATATATAATTCAAAATGATATAGGATAATAATAGATTGTTGCAGAATTATGAAGGAAATGAATTCCTTGAGCTTATTTAAATATAGGGATTATTTATATAATTATAAAAGTTTGAGAGCGGAACCCCTCAAATATTTAAAAAATCAGCCGAAAATGGTCTTTGAGCGGCAATGTAAAAAATGCTGGAAACACAATTTAAAAGAAATTAGTTGCGTATAATGAATATCTTCTCGCTATCATTTAAATAATGCTATTTATCACAGAATTAAAAATTCATGTATATATTTTCTTTTTCACACGCGCAGATTAATTAAGAATTATAAAATTTAATTACAAATAAAATCAAATTAAAAAGAGAATTAAAACCCTTTTTTCAAATATTTGGTAATTTGATTACAAAGATAAAATTAACGTGTTGGATAAAAATTCTCTCATTAAAAAGGTTTGTGTTTGAAACCGTGTCCTAGTTTGCGTCCGATTCTGCGTCCGAATTGTTTGCGTCCGATCTTGAGTCTGAATGGTTGGGTAACTTTTATATCTTTATCTTGTTTTTGTTCTTTTCCTTTAAGTGTTTTAATGGCCTTTACTTTTTTAGGTATGGTAAATTTTATATCTTTTTCTTGTTTTTGTTCTTTTCCTTTAAATGTTTTAATGGCCTTTACTTTTTTAAGTTTGATAACCCTTGTCTTTTTTACGACAATTTTTTTGACAGACTTTCCTTTTGGAACTTTGGATTTAACTTCGGGAACTTCTGGAAGTTTGATTTCAACTTTTTGTTCTTGTTCTTTAGGTGCTTCTTTAGGTTCTTCTTTAGGTGCCTCTTTTTCTTGTTCTTTAGGCTGTTCTTTAGGTTCCTCTTTTTCTTGTTCTTTAGGCTCTTCTTTAGGTGCTATTTTGTTTTGTTCTATAGTATTTTGTCTCTTCATCAAATTATCAAAACTAGAATCAGTATTTGTAGATTTTTTGACGTTAATTTTACTGTTACAAAGTTCGGTTATGAAGAATAGTTCAGAATCGACGTCAATTCCATTGCATTCATTATATAATGTTTGTAATTTTTCAGAATTACATATGCAATCCTTTGTGGAGACATCGTCAGCCTTGTCAATACAAATTTTACGCTCTATGTTATATTGTCTACAAGAAGGATTTGGGGATGCATGTACTGAGGCAAGAGTAGCAATGCAAAGAACCAGCGCAGCGGTTATCAGATTGGATTTCATTTTTTAAATATTAAAAAGGTAAATGATACATATAAGGTTTGAATGAATATAGGAAAGGTGTGAAGAAATATTTAGGAATACGAATTAGGATTGACGAGAATTATGAATAGAGGGGGAGATAAGAGGAGGAGATGTTAGATTGAGGATTGTGTTCTAGAGGATTAAATGAATGTCTAGAGGATTAAAAAAAAGAAAGAAGGTAGGTATGGCATTCAAAAATTGAACTAGCGAAGAATGTAGAAAAAATTGAAGCGCAAAATTTCATGTTCTTTTATAAGAATTTAAATATTTTGAACTTCGTATAAAGTACGATTTGTGTTACGTTCTGAACAATTAATCTAATCTATTTAAAGCAACAAACATAAGATTACACAATCACCAGATTAAGAAATTTTTTAAATTAATGTTGCATCAATTCTGTATGTAGCCGATTTGCCAATCAATATGCAGAATGATGATAAACCAAAAAAAATAGTTCCTAAAATAGAATCCTTAGAATGCATGCACATTTTCTTACAATAATAAACGCGCAATTTTTTGTATAGCTTCGCTTATTAGGTTGTAACATTTCACCTATGATAATAAATTTCTCTTTTGTGAATTCAGATGAAAGTTTTTATTTTTTTTATTTTTTTTTTTTAATCTTTAATGATTGGTCAAAAAATAAAGTTATTATCTATCCATTTAAGGAATGATGTGCTATTGCAGATTGTATCACTATTAAAACGGTTAAGTCAAAATAAAAAAAAAACCTTTCGAGAATTATGATTCGTTTCGAAACGATACAAAAAAATATTATTAAAGATAAAATAACACAAATAATAACAATCTAATCAATCGTACATAGGTGTTATTTTTTGGAATTTTTTTTCTTTCGTAAGATTTTCCTTCATTCCATTGGTTAAAATTCTCTCATTATAATATTTCCTACTAAATGTTAACTATTTAAGTAAGATCTTAAATTAGTAAACAAATAAAAAAAACTACCAAAAATTTCGGTTGACCTTATGGATACCTTTTTAACATAAAATCACCAGAAAACATTGAAGATTACTTACGGAATATCATTTTTTGTCTTTTCTTCATCTGATATAATAAAACTATTTGATGCATAAACTCTATGTTGGTAATGCAAGTTACTTTAATTCTTTTCTTATGATCTCATCTGCAACAAATAATTATTAAACTTGTACACTTTTTAAATGAAAATCTGGCGAAAAAGGAAGTCATGTAATGTTCCATTTTCATAAAGGGAATAAGCTGTTTAATTCCATGCAAAGGCAAGATAAAATTAACGATCGTTAAGCAAATTTATTACAAAGAGATTTAAGAAAAATGTGATATACTTTATGTATGATTTTACAAAATCAAATTTAGAGTAAGGACAGAGATATTACGTTAAGATAATTCTGTACGTACACTTTGAAAAAAATTTTCCAAGTAAAATAAGTGTAACCATGTATGTACACTTTGACCTTTTTTATATTACGTAGTAAACATAGTAGATATCACATCAATTGTCACGAAATAGTTCTAATCTCAGTAATAGAAAAAACACCAGTATAATTAATATTTTTTTTTTTTAAAAAAAAAAAAATAACGAAAAAATGTCTAATGAACTAAATAAACTAGATTCATCGCTGTAAATTTATTATTAATCGTCAAAATAAATATTCCTTTGATTTTGACGACAACGAGTTCGTATCATGATTCTTAATTTAAAAAGTCATTTACCGGTCATTAACTCCTTGGAAAATCATAAGAATAAATTTTTTCGATCATGAACATACACGAACATAATTAAAGTCGTTCAAATATATCAATTCATTTGTATGTGATACATCTCCATAATTTCTTTTAACGACTTCCAAAGGAAATCCTTTCGGCTCATGCGCATTGAATTGACCACTTGAAAGTGTAACACACTCTCACATAATATGTTAACATCATCTTTTAAAGACGTTATGACGACCAAATTCGTCAGGAATTCGTAAGGAGATAGTTTAGAGTGTCTAGATCGTTTCTGAAACGATCCAACCTCTATCATTACACAAACGATTTTTATTTTTCCGTTCCGAACATCATCTTGTAAAAGAAAAATTGGTTTCCACTTTATTAAAAAATGTATAATTTAATCATAGCCAAAATGTAGTTATAATTTATATTTTATGTCAAATTATAATGACATAAAATTTAAAAAAAAATCTAAATAATATTTAGCATATAAAGTAATTTTTTTTTTGTTTTTGCAAGTGTTAATATACTTTACTTATAAAATACACTAATATATTTAATAATTTATATAATAAACTTTTATAAAGTTTTTAATAATGCAAAAAAATATTTATTTTAAATATTTAACATTTATTATATTTATTAAAAAATAATTGTATAAAAAGTTACAAATATAGATATTTTTTTTTTTTTAGTGTCCAAGCAATTGGAATGATAAAGTAGCCCATGAAATAAATGACCGGAAATGTCAAAATCGTGATGATAATTGTCATAAGAAAATAATATTTATTTTTATTAACGAAACCGGGTATTGTTGATTTAATACTACAAAATTTATTTGCAAAATTTAAGATATCGTCATTATGCCGCCTATACCAAATTAGGATAAAAGCGATAAAAATTAAAAATCCAAAATAACCGCAGTAATATTGGTAACTCCTTTAATTAAAAAATGACCTCACAACAATTATAGCCAAAAATTTTTTAAAAAAGTAGATTTATAAATAAATGCTAAATGTTTACAATATTTTCAAGAAATATGCTATTTATTATGATGCATAAGTTTACTTATAACGTCAAAGCCGGTGTTCATTAATAAAAAAAAAAAAATTTCATATCACAATTATCATTACGATTTTGAGGCTTCCGGTCATTTATTTCATGGGAATGTACATATTATCTAATATTAATTTGATTTCGAATAAATTGTTAATATAATTATAGGTTGTGTGGTTTTGTGTTATAGAGGAATTTCCTTGGTAAGCCGTCAAATTTATAAACGACAAAATGATTATCTATTTGTTACGGATTCCTCTTAAACGCTTTATTATGAACCCTTATGTCTCGATAACTCGTCGGATCTCGAAGAATTTCTTTTAGCATCAGTTTCAATTACATTTATGAGGTTTTTCTCCCGTGTGAGTATTAATAAATGTTCTAAACGGTCGAAGCCTCTGCCGCAAATAGTGCACATGTAATTACGAGAAGTTCTGGCTCTCTTGCCATTTGTTACTGGAGAATTAATGTTGGGTTCGCTTTGTTTATTATAATTGTTAACCGACGTGGTTCTTTCTATTGTTGGGCTGTTAATTATATTAGAAAGAGTGAAAGAAGACATTTTTACGTAAGCAAGTTTCGTTTAGAAAATGTTCGTTGGGGAGGTTCGACTGCTCTTAATTTGCAGAACATAATTTATAAACTCAATTTATTGCGTTTTGATGAGTTTTCCATCACCCCAATGCATTAAATAAAATGGAATGAAATATATTATATGCGTGACATATTATGCGGTGACACGATAATATATATAAAAAAATTATTTTTTTTAGTACATTATTTCTGATTAGTTACATAATTTTTTTTAAAATATGTTGTGAAATATCCTTAGGTTGTACAGAACAGTATCTTTAACTTTCAAAGAAAATCGAAAATAAAAAATGCTCACAATTGTTCAATTAAATTCGCTTACGTACATGTAAAATTAATCTAATAAAAGTTAGTGAGATAATTGAAAGATTTCAAGAATATCATTAGATATAATTCAAACAAATTTTAGTCAAAATAAAAAAATTTTAGAGGAAAAATGCATGCTTAACAATTCAAGGTACATTTTTTCTCTTTCACTAATTATCTTCCTTCTATTCAGCCGGATGAATAAGTAGATAGGAGCAATGAAGTGGATTTGCTTTTATCCATCCTCATTTTATTTCCTTGATTTAACGAATTATTGGAATTATTGACGGAATTTTCGCATATTACGGGCCATGGTATCTCTCCCATGTATAGTATCCCCCTTTTTTTTCCCGAAAAAAGTTCCATATTCTATTGTTCTTATTATTTAGAAATCAGAAATTGCACATATACAATTTTCTGATTATTTTACAAGTCTTTAATAAACACATTCTATAATATACAGTATAGACTTGGTAGTACAAGGTCAACCCTCCGAAAACTTGCGGCCCGTAATATACGGTAGCATAAATTGCGGATTGAAATTTTTAAAGTTCGCCATGTTATTATCTTGACAATGGTTTCCGAAAAAAAAGACATGATAAAAACCCAAAAGGTGTTTAAACAAGTAAATTCAAATTTTAAGTCAAAAAAAATTGGAACTAGATAAAGTATTAACGTTAAAATATACTTAAACGATTCAAACTTTCAGAGATAAAAAAAAATTATCAAATAATCAAGAAAACTGTCAAAATTTAAAGACTATACAGTAAAGCATTCATATATGAACCTAATTCTCCTTGCGTTTTTATTTTTTAAATGAAAATAGTATTATTGTCTTCGATACGATTTACAAAAAACTTTATTTATCTCAGTATATCTTTTATTGATTGCCTTTTCGTACGTGCATTATTTGATCTCACATGTGCAAAACGTGAAAGTAAAGGAGAATTTTGACACGTACTTTTTTTTTTAAAAAAAAAATTGCGAGATTAAGGACTTATTTGTATAACGATACTATCGTGTAAAAATTCTGCATTATCATTGTTCAGGTAATAAAAATAATTTCCACTTGTGAATTATTATTTAAAATATTCAATTCTATTTGTATTAAAAAATACAGATGAAAAAAATTTTTTTTTTATTGCACCATCCTACAGGATCATTTCCCGAATTCCATTTTCCCGAGCTATCTAATTGCCCGGGACATTTTCCCGAATACCAGGATCTCGAATGCCAATTTCCCGAATGCCAGTTACATTATCGTGATTTTAGCTTATTTGCAAAGATGATATATACAATATATTCCGATATTA